TTCCAGTCTTCAACCGGTTTTCTGAATTTTCAGGGGGCTCATTGTTGCTAGCTGGAAGAGCTGGTATGGGAAGACGTGAAGCTGCATCGCTTGTTGCCAACATGCATCAAATGCCTGTGTTCTCGCCTAAATTGACATCATCTTATGGAATCAAACAGTTTAGAAATGATTTAAAAACGGTATACAATTTCATTTGAGCGGTCATCGTATCTTTAACTGAATTAGCTGAGTTAGCAATTCCGAGCATTTTGCAGGTCATCCAAGATGCGGCAGTAAACGGTAAACATGTTGTTTACATTGTTGAAGATTACCAGTTACTACAGGACGCATTTCTGCAATCCATAAATTCTTTACTATCATCTGGTAATCTTCCTGGAATATTTAGTGTCCAGGAATTCGACAGCTTTTTGGTAAACTTACGCGAACAAGCTTCGCAAGATGCATTCCAAGGCGACATGTATTCTTATTTTGTTATGAGTAAGTTATCTTATTCATTTTCTTTCGTTCTTTGTTTTTCTTGCTGAATTCTGTGTTTCGAAACTATGAAAGAAGAATGTATTACTATTGAAACTAATATATCTCGAAAGTAACGAAAATGAATAATTTGAATGATTTTAAAAGCGCCCATAGAAGTGACGCATGCTTTGCGTTTCAAAATTATTCTTCGAAGCGCTGAAGCCATTAATACCGTGTTCAAGTCGAAAGAAGTTTTAATGATTAATAGATTGCAGTTGTCGATAAATGGCATGTTTTATGAACTTTTTTTAGAAGTAAAGGCAAATTTGCATATCATCCTTATTTTAAATGTTGATGATGCTAATTTTTCTGTAAAATGCTCATCAAATCCGTCGCTATATAAGGAATGTTCGATCATTTGGAATGAAGCATGGAATAAGGATGCTTTGTCAGAGGTTATTTATAATGAAAGTTTAATATACAGAAATAGCTAAATCGGGACGTTTCGGCTAAGGTCTTTGAGAAAATTTAAAACAAACAATGATTTATGTAATGAATTCTGGTTTTATAAAAATTTGTTTCAATTTTTTCTATTTTTTATCCCTATACTTAATTAAAGTTTTCCATGGTAAATAACTACCAGAAAATTTTTTGGAATTTTCCACAAGAATGGAAACGAGAAATTGCATTGTTGATTATCATTAGTTCTAGTTATCAGAATCAATTTTATCGCGGCATAACGTCAAGACATCAAGTGATATACTAATCGCTTTCGGACAAATCTATCACCAGTGTCCAGCCGAAATAGCACCACCAGCAAAATATATCCGATTCATCGAAAACTATGCTTGTATTCTGAATAAAAAACGAACCGCTATTGAGACACGATCTAACAGGCTGAAGGCATTGATTTTTCGTATTCCAAAAACTCTAAAAACAAAAATTCTGCACAAAGTCAAAATTTTAATATTCCCGTTTTTTGCTTTGTTGTACAAAAACGAGCTGAACGAAATTAGCACTTCTTTTCTGCTTATTTTCTTAGGCTGGAATTGGTAAATTGACGGAAGCACGTGAATCTGTTTCAAACATGCAAAAAAAAGCTGCTAAAAAGAGTAAGTTATTGGCTGAAAAGCAAAGCGGTGCAGATATGGCACTGAAAGCAATTTCACAAAGCATGACGGTTTGTTCAAAATTTGTTGCACATAATAACATTGGTGTCTCATATACTATTCACTAAATAAATCAATTACAATTTTTATACACAAGTCTTACCTGAATAAGTTTGATCGAGAATTAAATTTTCCAATGTTTTACTTAGCTTTTCCATTTTAGTGTTTTGCTGAATTTAATGTTTTTAAGAATGCAAATTATCAGCGGTCGGATATGGAACAACTTAAACTGGCAACTGTGAAAGAAAATGAAAGGATTGAGAAGCAAAAAAGTTTGATCGAAGAACAATTACGCGAGGTAATTGTTTTGCTTTGATGAAAAGATTGCTCTAAATTCTGTTTAAGGTGGAAAAGTTTATCCTGTTTAGCTAAACAAATCAACTGGCTAGTGAGGTATATCAAGTTTAAGTCATATTTTTCAGGTGGAACCTATGCTACGTGAAGCTCGTGAAGCAGTTGGTTCTATTAAATCGGAGAGCTTATCTGAAATTCGAAGTCTGCGTGCTCCACCGGAAGCAATCCGAGATATTTTGCAAGCTGTGTTGTTATTTATGGGTATTTTTGACACATCTTGGGAAGCGATGAGAAAGTACGGGTTGCTTTTCGTTAAAATTTGTTTCTTTTTTCAAAACAAGATTATTCGAATTCTTTCCGTTCTGTAATCTTGATAACTGGTTTCAAATTTGGTAGTTTGAGCCGCTTTTATCTAAAATCCTTTAAGTTTCGTAAATTGAATTCACCTTAATTATAGGTTTTTGGCTAGAAATGGGGTGAAAGACGAAATAATTAATTTTGATGCCCGAGGAATTTCACCTGATGTCAACAAAAGGGTTTCTGCTCTTATAAAAAGCAAGCAGTCATCATTTGATCCAAAGGTTAGTCATTTTTTTAACATTTCCATAATTTTTTTGTGTGTAGCAGGTCAGATCTTAAGAGTGCTATCTAAAACACGACATAACAACCTTATCTAGACTACCCTTAGTTTGGTGCTCAAGATTATTATATACCGTAACCTGCGTTTCAGGAAATTTCTTTTCTTTCTCCATTTCTACCTGCAACAATGAGTAGATATTAAGCAAAAAATAAACGAAATTTTATGCATTCCATGAAAACTTTCTCAGGAATATCGTCCTTTTTTCTTAATTAGTTCAAAAGAAACGTTGCAATTTCTTGGTGATTCATTTCCTCATAACATCAGCAGCAATATGGATGCGTGAAAGACAAGTTAATCTACTTAAGCTGCTTAAGTTGATAAATTCCTGAAGCTTTTACTCATTTCTGGTTTTGATGAGAAATCTTCTGTGTTGCATAAATGAGCTAGTTTTGCTTATTTTATTTATTATCATACTTTTGATATAGAACGCAAAACGAGCATCAGCAGCAGCAGCACCGTTAGCTGCATGGGTACGAGCAAATTTAGATTATTCGACAATTTTGGAACGTGTTGCTCCATTACAAAAAGAGAAAAATGATTTGATTAAGCAAGTTGACACTTCTTTTTATTTATTTGTTTATTTATTTTTTTAAAGCGTCATCTTTTAAAAATTAGGTCTGTATGAAGTATAAAGCAGATTAATGGTTTAATGGTGTATTAATGGGGCTCATGTAATTTGAAAATTACCAATAGCAGGCACATGAAAAAAGTGACGATATTGTTAAGTAGCAAATTTTAGATTTTAAAATGATTTAACTATCAATTGCGGCAGATATTTAACATATTTGTTATAAAGCAAAATGGAAATGAAATGAATTTGAAAGCCTATAATTCAACTATAGAAATCTAAACGAAGCTGAGAAGCAAATGGAAAAATTATCGAAAGGTCTACGAACGGTTGATGAACGAGTTGCTGAGTTGAAACATAACTTCGAAGTGCATATGAAAGAAGCAACACAGATAAAGATTGATTTAGATAAGCAGCAGGCAAGCTTATATGATCTTTATTTAAATCATCCTTTCTGGAAAGCCCTTTACAGGCGAACTAATGAAAGATAATGGATTTCGAAGTTAGACTAATTTAGCAAGAACTACCGCGAAGGCTGTTTTGGGTTCGGCGATGAATGTTATACCATTATCATAAAGCGCATTTTAACGAATATTTGTGCTTTTCCAAAATTCTTCTAACTTTATTAAGCTTCGTATTCATTTTTTACCATATTGGTATTATTCTAAACTTTAAATTCCAGGAAACCATTGATGTTGCTGGAACTCTTATAGATAGACTTAGTGGCGAGTATGGGAGATGGCAAGAGCAAATCGGCAGTTTGCAAAATGAACTTGATTGCGTAATTTTTTCCTTATGTTTTTTCCCCCTTCTTCTTGATTTTTGTTTCTTGATTTAATTAAATTTAATGGATCACTTCCTGTCTGTGCTCAACGTTTGTAAAAAAAAAAAATTAATTTTTTGCAGCTGGAAAAGGGTTCCCTTCTATCTGCTGCATTTGTAACGTTTCTTGGTTCAGAGTCAGAACAAGTTCGAAATGAAATTTTGAACAAATGGAAGAAACTCCTCAATTTGAGTGATTTCAATACACTTGAATTCAATGTTATGGAGACCGAAAAAGTATGTTGTTACTGGTGAAATTTAAGTTCCGGTTTCCTCGAAATCCTAATTTAAATGTAATGCCATGGTTTGATGAAAGTATGTTACACGATATTTGCTTCAGTATTGCTAATTTACTGTTTTATTTTCGATCATTTGTTTCAGTTGAATTGGAGTAACAAAGGACTTCCAACTGATTCACTTTCGCAGGAGAATGCCATGATTTTATTTAATACTACAGAAATACCGCTGATCATCGATCCTAGCGGACGAGCATCGTTATTTCTTGAAGAATATTTGAAAGATAAGCAATTAGAAAAAGTGAATGCTAACGATTCTAATTTTCTTACTCAGGTGGTATACACTTTTTTATTGAAGAGAAAAAGTAGAGACATGTTGCTAATTATTAAGGAAATGAAATCGAGCTGGGAAATATATTGATCGTTTTCCCAAATTCTGCTTTTTGTTTTGTTACCAATCAAATTCGAGATATTGCCTTCACAAATTCATGAAAGTAATCTCATAATTTGACAAGAGTATTTGTTTTTATCATTATTATATCAGGTTTAGGTTGAACTTGCTATTCGTTTTGGCAAATTTTTGCTTATTGATGATGTGAATAGAGTTGAACCTACTCTTATCAGTCTTCTTCGGAAAGATTTTTCGAATCAAGGTATGCTTTTGTTTTAAGTCTTAGACTTATTAGAGAAAGCAAATGAAGCTTTATTAAAGAAAATTTGAGACTAATAGTAGAAACCTTCAGATATGATATTTTTGAGGTTGCTATCAATTGCATACGTGAAAGTGGTCATTCCAGTTGTCCTCTTTATGACATTTATGTATTTATACCATTCTACAGTTAAATTAATGTAGAAGGTAAAAATTCTTTCAGCAAAGATCTACTAAGATTACTTACTGTCATTCTGTGCAATACCTTTTCTAATAGTAGAATAATATCACAACGAAATGTGTTTCGCAGTGATTAGCGATAACAAATAATGGGTCGTGCACGTCCGCTAATTAAACTCCAGGTCGTTAAATAAGTCCTAACTTATAACTAAAACTTATTACGTGTCCGGGACTACAAAAATTTTGACCAGTATTTTATGGCTATAGAGAAATATATCATAAACGATAATTATGTATAACGAATTGTGTAGCATTAATTTCCTTCAAAATTTTCTGTTTTAATCAATTTCATAAAAAATATGAATTATTTCATATGTGAAATTAACAAAATATTTTTTCGTTTTCAGGACCACGACGTATTGTTCAAATTGGTGAGAAAGCTATTGATTATAATGATAATTTTCGATTGTACATCTGCTCTAGGAATAATTTATTGCGATTAGATCAAACATCCAAGGCAGCCGTTGCCTTAATATGTTTCAGTATCACACAAACGGGCCTTGCATCACAAGTTTGCACTTTAATTTTTTTTTTTTGAAATTTTTTCTGTAAAGTGTTGACCCATTTACCTTACCTTAAGTGAGAGTCAAGCTTCCTGTTGAAATTGAACTCCATTTGCAGTAATATTATGCAGGCATTCTGGGATTCTTTTACGTGTATTGACTAGTTCATTTAGATGCTCGGATTGGCAATACAAATGGAAAAACCGGCTTTGGAAACTCGTTTAAATGAATTGACCGGTGATGTGGAACAAATGAAAATTAAACTTGATGGCATTGAACAATCACTTCTGCAAGTAAATTATTAAGAATTATTTGGCGAAATTGACAAAATCGCATTAAAACTTCATGTGTAATTAGTTTACCCGGTTGCCTGTTTTCTGAACAAAGATGGAAATTTTCATGTGTAATTTAGCCATCAGGAATGCAACTTTTGCTGTAGATTAAGATGCTACGAACAGTCAATTATATTTCTAGAATGGTATTTGTGATATTACTCTTTCTAATATATATATATATTTCATATTATTATATTTAAGACATTAGCTTCATCCGAAGGAAGTCTTTTGGACAATACGGATTTGTTGGATTCCTTGAATAAAAGCAAAGAAAATGCAGAAACCACTGCAATATCACTGTCTGAGGCTGATAAATTGCAGAAGCAACTTATTAAGGTTTGTAGCACAGGATGGATTAGTTCTTTGTCTTTTAAAAAAAAATTTTTGTTGAACCTCCAATTTTGAATAGTTGAGAAATGTGGTGCTTGTTAGAGCAATATTTTTTATTTCAGGAAAAGAATGTATATCGACCACTAGCAGAAGCTGCAAGTAATTTATACTTCATTATTCATGATTTGCACAAACAAGACCCCATGTACAACTTTAACCTCAATATTGTAATAAACCTGTACAACCGTACATTTAGCAAAGTTAAGGTAAGTTTTTAATATAGAAAAAGTGAATAAAATATTTGATAGGATTTTTCAAACTATGCTGGCTGAGCAGAACATTCCCGTGATGGGAATCACCATAGATAACCTGACGAATTGAATTAAACTGAGTGGTTAGACAGGAAAATCTTGACCAGATGAGTCGATGCAACGCCTTCTGCGGTTGAAAATGCTTTACCAAATGTATCAGCCTGGATTGTTCGGAATTTTGCATAATAAGTTAATGTTTAAGTTTTGATTCTGTTTCGTTTGAATAGCAATCAAATAAATTTGTTATTGTGGATTGCAAAAACTAACTAGTAGTTGGGATGTGATGACTGAAAAATATGAAATTTACTAAATTTTGCCGAGATTTCGAGTTTATCCTTTTCATTTCTAGGAAAGTACAAATACAATGGGACGAATAGAAAAATTGCGACGGGTACTCCAACATACCGTTTATGAATATGTATCACGCGCACTTTTTAAAAAAGATCGTTTGATGTTTTCAATGCGATTTGTCCATGGAATACAACCATCTCTCTTTGGGCAAAATGTTAGTATTTCATTTGAATTTATAATGATTTATTTTTTTTAAATGAATCGAACAGCTTGATGGTATCATGCGTTGTTTTCAAAAATTCATCATATAAGTATGTTTTCACCATACGGACATAATACATTTGATGTCCAGGTATTTTTTGATTTTATTGTGTCTCTTGATGTTGACGATTTTGGTAATTCGGTATTGACGAATTAATGTTATCAGGTTTTTCATGGAAAACATCCAAAGTTATCTTCCAGGAATGGGAATTATTCACGGGTTTGATTGTTGATGATGTCACGGTCTCTTCCATGGAAGAGATTGACTGGATTGGTTGTGAACGAAAAGCAAATGTTGCTAAATTGCAGGTTAGTTTGAAGACTTTTCAGATATTTAATTTACTATAGTAACTATTATGCTAAATAGATAGTTTGCCGCTACAAATGAGTTTTAATCTTTTCCTTACATAATTAATTATAAAAATCGAAATTTTGGCAAGTTTTTAGAAATATTTGCCTACATTATTCAACAATCTTCGCTTTACGGATCATAGATTATGGAGTGAATTTGCTCGTACGATAAACTGCGAAACAGTATTTCCACCTTCTGTCGATGCAGTTATAACACCATTCCAGAAATTGCTCGTTATTCAGGCTGTTCGACCAGAGAGACTTTATTTTACTATGATCAACTTTGTTACTGACGTATTAGGTTTGATATTAATCCATAACCTTTGAGCTAAGTATTTGAACTTAACATTCCCAGAGTTTTTTAACTGGAATTTCAGGAGTTCCGTCAATCAATCCACCTCCACTAGATTTGAAGTCAATCTACAAATCAGAAAGCAATGAAAATGAGCCGATCATGATATTGATTAGTCCTGGTGCAGATCCATCACAAGTATTACTGATATTTTCTAGTTTTTCCTTTTGAAATATATAAAAAAGAGCTGGAATAATAACAGCTTGTGAGTATGTGGCCGAAAATTGATATCTAAATTCCTGTTCTCTTGCACTAGGTTATAGCATCAAATTCAGACTTTGGTTTTTGTTAAGGCAGTATAGATGAATTTATGGAGTTGAAATTTTTGGATATACTGCTTTGCATATGAGGGTTTTTACGGCTGCGCTTTGAACTTTAAAGTCAAGTACAACCTGAGATAGTAAAGTCAAAGCAAATTAAGATTCTAGAATTCCACTTATGTAATATTTACCTAGTTGTAACGTTCACAAAGAATTTTGGACCCAAATAGCGAGTTTTTGGTAAGGATGGCAAATTTACACTGAAAAATTTGTTGTTGAAGGAACTGGAAGAATTGGCTCGAAAAGAAATATCTAGAACGAAATTTTATCAAATTTCGATGGGCCAAGGACAGCGACAAGCAGCTCTTGAAGCAATTCGAACATGTGCTACAAGTGGTGGTTGGGTGTGCTTGAAAAATTTGCATCTCGCCGTCAGCGATTTAGCGGCAATCGAGAAGGTATGGAATAATATTTCTAATGTATAAATTCGTAGTTAATCTATTAATGATAATATGGTTTTCTTTCAAACTCCGGGAAACTCAGAAGTTAATTCTTTTTGCAGTCTTTCAGTGACTTGTTATAGTTTTAACATCTATTTCAGGAATTTTTGACATCGAAACGAGACCCTGGTTTTCGTCTGTGGTTAACTTCCGAATCAAATGAGCATTTCTCTCCGCAGCTACTTCAAGCCTCATTGAAAATTGTTTACGAAGCACCGCCTGGCATCAAGAATAATATGAAAAGGATTTATGCTCAATGGCAGCAATCTGAGCTTAATTTTAGTGCTGTTTATTTGCAAAGTTTATTTATGTTAGCTTGGTTACATGCACTTCTACAGGAGCGACGAATGTTCATACCTGAGGTACAGTTTTCCATTTGGACCCATGAAATTTTGTAAAAATTGTAGTAAATGTAGAACTTTCTTTCTTGCCTTAATTCCAGAGAAATTTTTGGAAGCACTTCAATTAATGCGTAGTCGCAAAGTAGCCTGCTTTTCCCAATTCTTTAAGCCATTAAATGATGGTTTTAACAAGTTTTAAATACTACCTGAATATGCCTGCTTTTTCTATTGAACTATAAACAGCTAATATTTCCTACTCGGTTTTATATTAAATTTGTCGTATGTGGAAAAGATAAAAAATCGCGACGAATTTAATTTAAAGTCGAATCGGAATATTAGCTGTTTGCAGTTCACAGATTGCCATTTATCTTCCGATTTTGTGATTAAGATTTTCATATTTATGGTTTGAAAGCATTTCAGTTACTAAATTCGTCAAGGATGAGTGAGGATGAAGTCTTAGCGTCTCAATTTAAATTTTGTTTTAGTTATCTTATGGGAGGGCGACAATAACCAGCATGTTAATCAACAACTGTCAATCCTATGTAAAGTAAAATATCTATGTGTCAAATAATAGAGATTTTAGGCTTGGTCGAAGTTTTATGAATTTAGCAACAGCGATCTACGAGTAGCCAAGAAATTTGTTGAAGATATTACAAAAGATGACAAAGGTAAAATCTTCTGGATTTGAAATTTCTGAACGATTTGGCAGTGCTCCGAATATATGTTAAGTCGAATTCTTTTCCAGTAGGATGTCTTTTTCAGGAATGTGGTTTGCTTTGTGGAAGCTACTGCATTACTGCTTTTTGTTTTTATCCGGAAGGAATCATGAAAGCATAAGAACTGTCTGTACCAAACCATCGAATAGTTATAGTTCTAACTTTCTTAGATTTCAAAGTAGAATTTTTGTTTTCAATATAACTTCTTTTTCAGCTGTTGATTGGCAACTACTTCGTGGCCTCATGCAAACTGTTGCATATGGTGGACGTATTGACAATGATTTTGATATGAACGTTCTAGTTGTTTATTTGAAACGCTATTTCAATTCATCCGTTATTGGCATAAATGGTCCTGAAATTGCGCACCATATTTCTGTCCCATTTTCAAGCAATATCACGGTATGTTTTCAAAATGTAGTATATGGCGGAGGGATTTTCACGATGTCTTGCTTAATTTTAGGAGTCGTACAATTTTTTCATTTACTTTTAATTAATAGAATTTGTGACAAGGGTTTGTGACAAGGTGACTTAATTAACAGGATTACACTAACATCATTAATACAAATATACCTGATGACGATAATCCGACATTGTTTGGCTTGCCCTCAAATATAAGTACTGCACGTGAAATAGCGGAAACGAATAAAACGATTCTCCAAATACGTAGCATGCCAGTTGTTGCCAGCGAAGCTGTATTTGACAGGTAATGTTGTCTGAAAAGTATTGCTCATTTTAGTCCTTTCAATCAATTGTTTATAAAGAAGATGTTGATCAGCCGAAAAAAAAGAAAAAATTGCTAGTTTCTTTTCTTTCTCAAGTGATACGCAGAATTGTTAGTTCCTCAGTAGTTCCCAGCATTTTAGATGGTATTCATAATTAATACAATAAATGTAATTGAAACGGTCAAACGAGCTAGAAATTTTTATGTAAAATGTGAATTGCCTTGGTTTAATCGCCTTATTATAACATTTGTAGCAAATTAACAATGCAAATTAATGAGACGGAATAAATCAAAACTAAGCAAAAATTTTCAGGAATGTATGGAATAAAGCTCTGAATCCAATTATAACACTTTGGAAGCGACTCAATTCTCAATCAACGTTGCATTCCATGGATATACCATTGGCACAGCATACCGATGATCTCATTCTAGAAATTATTTCCCTCGAATATATTCATGCAATAATGCTGGTATCCATTGTATGCAATGATTTTTGATATGTTAACGATTAACCTAAATTAACGGCTTGTATAAAATTGAAATGCGAGAAGTTTCAGGTTCAAAAAGTGCATAAATTCCTTGGTGCAATAAGTAAATGCTTACGTGGTATTCAGTTGCTCACATCAGAAATTGCTAATGGTGCACGGGCATTAATGATGCATCAAGTTTGCTTTTCTATTTCTATAAGAGGGGAAAAAAAGCTCTTCCTTGATTAATTAATGTATTCTGTATCAAAATTTTCCTCAGAACATCTGAAGATATCGGGGTGTTTTCATTCAATTTACATTTATAGACACCAGAAGAATGGCAAGAAGCATGGAGAGGTCCATCGGATCCAGCTCAGTATTTGACAGCTTTGATACATAAAGCTAAATCAATAGAACAATTATCACGCATCAATGACAGTCATAAAATATTAGCTAATCCAATAAGACTTGGCAACATTTTCCGACCTACCGCTTTCTTCAATGCTTTACGGCAGTTAACTGCAAGGTTGTAATAAATTTATCAAACTGGATTTCAGTTCAAAATTTTTACTTCTACTTTTTAGTACAACGGGAAATCTAAGCAGTTTAAAATTTGCTATAGTTGAGATTTAACAAGGCATCCTTAGTTTCAGGAAAAAGCACATGTCAATGGATGAATTCAAATTAGGGACCGCGTGGAATGCTGCATTTCTAAAAAATGAAAATGTAATGGAAATATCCGGAATCCACATCCAGGGAGTCTTTATTTGAAGGACATATCGTTGAAACAAAACAAATATCGCCTACGGTTGCAACGGCTCCAAATCTGTACATTGCTTGGATATCTGCTGTAAGTGTGAAGCGAAAACAGGATTCAGATGGAAGAAG